CCCAGGACATTTGCATGTCCGGGAGCAGAGACTCTCACATTTGTCTGTGGGAGAGATGGAGAGAGGGAGGGAGGGCTGGGGAGAGCCTGGGTTCCAGCCATTCCCACTGGGCCTTTGGGAAGTTGCCTTGGCCTGCAGCTTGCAGCTTCCTCCTCTTCCTCTTCCTCTTCTTTCTCTTCCTCCTCTACCTCCTCCTCCACCTCCTTCTTCTCTTCCTATTCCTTCTCTTCCTCTTATTCTCCTTCTCTTCCTCCTCCCCTTCTTCCTCCTCCTTCGACTTCTTCCTTCTCCTCTTCCCCCTCTCTCATCTTCTTCCTCCTCTTCTTCCTCTTTTTCTTCCTCTTCTTCCTCTTCCTTTTCCTCCTCCTCCTTTTCTTCCTCTTCCTCTTCCTTTTCTTCTTTCTCCTCTTCCTTCTCTTTCTCCTCCTTTCCTCTTCTTCCTCCTCCTCTTCCACTTCCTTCTCCTCTTTTTCCTCCTTCTCCTCTTCCTCCTCTCTCATCTTCTTCCTCTTCCTCTTCCTCCTCTTCTTCTTTCTCCTTCTCTTCCTTCTCTTTCTCCTCCTTTCCTCTTCTTTCTCCTCCTTTTCCTCTTCCTCCACCTCCTCTTTCTCCTCCTCTTCCTTCACCTTCATCTTCTTCCTTTTCTCCCCTCCCTTCTTTTCTCCCTGGCTGTTGTGAGCTAGCTTTACCTTCTGGCCTGGATAAAATGGTGTGGAGAGCAGGGGCTGTATTCTTTGTGACTTGTTCTCCTTGCCAGGTAGGTAACGCCGCTGACGCCAGGCCAGGAAGGAGCTTCCGGGTGGGATGGGGGACGGGGCGATGGGCAGGGGGAAACAGAGGTCATGTTTAGGATTAGGAAGTCAGGAAGTGGTCACTTTGGCTACAGAGGAGCCTTAAAGGACGAGCGTAAACTGGCCAGCCGGGCATCCACGGCTCACGCCCATCATCCCAGTGACTCAGGAGGCTGAGATCTGAGGATTGAGGTTCAAAGCCAACATGGGCAGGAAAGTCTGTGAGACTCTGATCTCCAAGGAACCAGCAGAAAGCCAGAAGTGGCACTGTGGCTGAAGGGGTAGAGTGCCCGCCTTGAGCAAATGAAGCTCAGGGACAGCACCCAGGCCCCAAGTTCAAACCCCAGGACTGTATGCGTGCCCGCGCGCATGCACACACACACACACACACACACACACACACACAATCATAGGAGAGACAACTAAGAATATTGATATTTTCCTGATATAACCAGAACAGTTGCAATGTGTGTACTGGAATCCTAGAATTGATTCTTGTACTGAAAAAAAAGGGACCTTCTTTTTTTTCAGGATAAAAAGAACTGACGGTACAAATTGTCTGGTTCTTTCTACTCTGGGCACATTATGAATATATCTGTATGGATACAGATACACGTATACATATGTATGTTCACTGTAACCCCTTTATAATAACTGCATATATATATAGTTATTTATTTAAAGAAACACATCTGATCATCACTGCACACCCTTGGAAAATGAACTCTACAACTGGTGGGTGGGGACAGGAGAGGATGCATCCTGGTGAAATTTTTCAGTTGCAAGAATTAGTTGCTATGTTTTGCTAGAGCAAGGAGGAGGAAAGCAGGAAAGGGAAAGACTTTGACTCCAGAGGCCTTTCCTCGGCCTCTCCTCTCCTCCTCCCCCAGAAGAACACAGATTAATTGCCACAGCCACAGTCTTTTGACCCAGAGGATGATGGACTAAGAACAGAAAACCCAGCCAAGCCATCCCTCCACAGGCAAAATGCAGTCAGGAAACAAGATCAACCCAAACACCTCTCTGTGTGTCTTAGCTCCAGTGCTTGGGGAAGCAGCTTCATGAAAAAGGGTGGATCGCTTTTCTCTGCGAGGAGTTGTGTACCAGGGCATAGTGTGCTTGCTCTAGGAGAGTCCTGTGGGGGGAGGGTAGAACGGGACAGAAAGAGGATAGAGCGGTGTGGGGAGGGGTGCTGAAGCTAGGGAGCACTTTCGAGGTGAGCTGGGGGCAGGGAGGAGGCTGGGCCTTCCTTCTTGAGATTCCGAAGTTCCCGGCTATAGACTGGCCCAGAGCAGTCCCTGAGCTCTTCAGCTCAAGGCTGGCGCTCTACCACTTGAGCCACAGCGCCACTTCTGGTTTTTCTGGTGGTTCATGGGAGATGAAAAAGAATTTCACAGACTTGCCTGCCCAGGGTGGCTTTGAACCACGATCCTCAGATCTCCACCTTCTCCTGAGTAGCTGGGACCACAGACATGAGCCACCAGTGCCGGTGATGGGTCTTTGTTGAGACTAGATTCCCATTGTCACAATATCGATAATCTAAGACAGGGTTGAATAGGAAAGGGTTATGGGTGAAGATTTCATAAAGGTTTTCCTTTCCTCTATTTCTTACTGTTTCATTTCTTTTTTGGGGGGGGGGGGCCTGAACTCTGGGCCTGGGCGCTGTCCCTCAGCTCTTCAGCTCAAGGCTAGTGCTCTACCACTTGAGCCACAGCGCCACTTCTGGCTTTTTTCTTTTTGCTTATGTGGTGCTGAGGAATCGAACCCAGGGCCTTGAGCATGCAAGGCAAGCGCTCTACCACTGAGCCACCTTCCCAGCCCCTCTGTTTTATTTCTATTTGTGTTCCAAGCTTTTTTCTTTTTTCTTTTGTCAGTTGAGGGGCTTGAACTCAGGGCGTAGGCACTGTCCCTCAGCTCTTCAGCTCAAGGCGGGTGCTCTACCACTTGAGGCACAGTACCACTTCCAGATTTCTGAGCGGTTTATTGGAGATCAGAGTCTCATGGACTTTCCTGCCCAGGCTGGCTTTGAACCATGATCCTCAGATCTCAGCCTCCTGAGATCTGAGGAGTCACCGGTGCCTAACTTTTTTTTAAGAAACCAAAGAGCACATAAAGAAAATACCCATCAAGGCTGTTTATTCCAACCATCCATCACGCTGATTTTGTTTGGCTCGGTTCTTCGCAAGGGGAGACAGGCAAACCACTCAGCCCCGCAGTGTTTATCCACAAGCCCCTGGCCAACTTCTCTCCCAGCTGCTATGGACCAAGGCTAGAAGCTCTGCAGTCATCTTAACTGTTTATGTTCTTCTTCTGCTGTTTTTCAAGGGAAATTGAAGTCATCTCTTGGAGGCAAACACTCAGACTACTTTAACTTTCTAATCTAGATGCTCGTTTTCTTGCATCTTTGTAAGTGGGTCTTTAGCTTTGCAAACTGAATGCTAGGTCATGTCAATGTGCTCTCTCAGAACACGCAGGAACCCAAAATAAAGCAAGGCCTTAGGAATCCTTACTTTGGGGAAAGAGAGAACAGAACCGGGCACCGGTGGCTCACACCTCTCATCCCAGCGACCCAGGAGGCTGAGATCTGAGGATCAGGGTTCAAAGCCAGCCCGGGCAGGAAAGTCTGTGAGACTCTCATTTCCAGTAAACTACTCAGAAAACGTCAGAAGTGGAGCTGTGGCTCAAGGGGTAGAGCACCAGACTTAAGCCCAAAGAGGCTCAGGACAGTGCCCAGGCCCGGAGTTCAAGCCCCAGGACAGGCAAGAAAAAGAGGAACAGGAGAATGAGTGATTTTTCTTTGCCCGCAGTATTGATTTTGCACCTCACAACAGAATTTAAAATATACATTATTTCTTTAAAGAGAAAGAAAGAAAAGAAGGGTTTTGTCATTTTTGTCCCTTTCCTCCTCTCCCTTCCCTCCCTCCCTCCCTCCCTCCCTCCCTCCTTCCTTCCTTCCTACCTTCCTTCCTTCCTTCCTTTCTTCCTTCTCCCCCCCCTTCTCTTCTTCTTCTTGGTGTCAGTCCTGGGGCTTGAATTCACGACCTGGGCGCCGTCCCTGAGATTTTGGGGGTTTGTTTTTGGTTTTTGCTTAAGGCTGGAACTTTACCACTTGAACCACAGCTATACTTCTGGCTTTTTGGTGATACTTTATAGAGACAAGAGCCTGAGGGATGTTTCCTTCCCCAGGCTGGCTTTGAACTGCAATCCTCAGATCTCAGCCTCCTGAGTAGCTGGGATGACAGGCGTGAGCCACCGGTGCCCAGCAGTTCTTTTTCTAATTATGTTTTTCATGATCCTTATACCATCTTACGCTCAAAGATCAGCGTCGGGGTGTAATGTGCCTTGGCCGGTGCTTCCCTGTTTACCATTCTCCCTAATCCAGCGCTGTTTTGTTCTCATTGGTGGAATTTTGAGACAAGATCTTCCTAGGTCGCCGGGGCTGGCCCTAAACTCTCCTCCTGGGGTCCGGGATTACAGGTAGACACTACCATACCCGGGGTGTGTGTTTCCAGGTTAGAAACTGCACCCACCTTCTCTCCCACCAGGTGAAAGGCTCCCCTCCCTACCTTCGATGAAGGGAGAGAGAGAAAGGGATGGAGGGGAGGAAGGAAGGCGGAGGGGGACAGAGGAAGGAGGGACCAGAGACGGCCAAGACCAGACCAGACCAGCTTTACAAAGGAGGTTCCCGTTTATTGACTATTTGAAAGTCTGAGCAGGCCCCTCCCCGCCGTGGCTCAGAGCCCTCCTCCCCCCCCCGGCCCCCCGTGGGGGGGTCCTCGATTTCCCCGCCCATGGCCTGGTCGGTAACTTAACCTGCTGCCCAGTTCCAGGCCCAGAGGGGCCGCCGATCCTGCCGAGCCCTGGAGGCCAGGATGGCAGGGTGGGAAGACCCGGACTGTGTCTTCGACCTCCAGTGATCGGGGTGTGGGGGGGACCCCAGAAGCTCTGAGGTGGGGAGCACACCTCCCCCAACTAGTGGGGTTACCAATCCCCACGAAGATCTAGCGTAACAGGGGAACCTAAGAGAAACGTTAAGCTCGGAGTTTCTGAGAAGCAGCATGGCTTCTCCCCCTTTCCTCCCTCCCCTCTCTCTCTGTCTCCCCCACTTCCAGGCCCCAGAAGCCGATGGGGGGGGTAACCAGACGAGAGGGGCAGCCGGGATGTTGGAGAACCTGTGCTGTGTGTGCCCGCGCCCTCTCTGGTCTCTGATCACACATTCGTGTGCTGGGACCCGGAGGACGCCAGGCTGCCGGGCTGGCTGCGGGCGGAGGGGGCCGAGCTGGCCGCCCGGCGGCTCCTCTGGCTGCTGCGGCCCGGCTCGTCGGCCTGCCTGAGCTTCTCATGCTCCTCCTTGAGGAAGAAATCCACCAGCAAGCTCTTCTCCTTCTTGATCTGGTCGCTGATGTCGGTGGGGACATCGGGGATCACCCAGTCCACCAGCACGCTCAGGAACATCACCAGGTTCTGGGGGAGGGGCGGGCGAGGGGGGGCGGGGTGAGCAGGTGTGGGGGTGTGGTCCCCCCCCCCCCCCCCGCCATGAGGAGCTGAGTGACCATGTCCACCCTGTGTCCAGCTCTACCATCATCAACCCTGCCAGCCCTCTTGCCTCGATGCCTACATCCCTGGGATGGACTCATTCAGAACCATGTGTGATGGGGTCAGGGTATTTCTTCAGGACCTGACTCAGATCATGGCCACCCTCTGCACATCACCTTTACCATCACAGCAATCGAGTTGGTTTGATTTTTTTTTTTTGGTCGGTCGTGGGTCTTGAACTCAGGGCCTGGGTGCCGTCCCTCAGCTCTTCGGCTCAAGGCTGGTGCTCTACCACTTTGATCCACAGCGCCACTGCTGGTTTTCTGGTGGTTTATTAGAGATCAGAGTCTCCCAGACTTTCCTGCCCGGGCTGGCTTTGAACCGCGATCCTCCGATCTCAGCCTCCTGAGTGGCTGGGATGACAGGCGGGAGCCACCGGAGCCTGGCTTATTACTCTTATTAATAATGTTAATGGTGGAGTTTGTGTTCTTTGGTGTTACTGAGATTTGAACTGAGGTTCTCTTCCAGTTAACTGCTTGCTTGCTTGGGTGGTGCTCTACTGCTTGATCCGGCCACCAGTCTGCTTTTTCTGGTTCTTTTTTTTTTTTTTTTTTGCCAGTTGGGGGTTTGAACTCAGGGCCTGGGCGCTGTCCCTCAGCTCTTCAGCTCAAGGCTTGGCGCTCTACCACTTGAGCCACAGCGCCACTTGCGGCTTTTTCTGCTTATGTGGTGCTGAGGAGTGGAACCCAGGGCCTCATGCATGCAAGGCGAGCGCTCTACCACGAGCGCTCTACCACGGAGCCACCTGCCCAGGCCTCCCCTACACTGGCTCTTATTTATTGATATATCACCTAAGTTGATCAGGATAAATATATGCCTTCACCTGGCGTGAAATAGAAAGTCCTAAGACAAGATCTGGTGTCAGAGGACCTCATCTTCCTCCCTCCCTGTGTTCTCTCTCTCTCCCTCTCTCCCTCTCTCTCTCTCTCTCTCTCTCTCTCTCTCTCTCTGTCTATGCTCTAATGCCGTCTATTGTCTTATTACCTTTTTATTTCACTCCGGGCCTTTCATCCACCCTTGTATCCCAATAAATAGAACCTGTGCCGTGGGCCAGGGACCCCACGTCCACCCCCCACCCCACCCCGCCGGGCAGGGCCCCAGGAAGTCGGGCCGGTCCTTGCATCCCATTCTTCCTCCTCTCCCCCAATCCATCCCAGACCCTCCTCTGCTGGGCTGGGGGCACACCCGGGGGGGGGTCTTCTTCCTTCTGAGAACTCCCCTACACCCCAAAAATTGCAGTGGCTGAGCCCTCGAACCCCCAGAGCTGAGGGAAGGCCTGAGCCCCTGGGGCACGGGAAGCTGGGAGTCTGACGGGGGGGGGGGGGGGGGGGCCGTGGAGAAGGTGGGGCGGCCGTGGTGGGGGGTGGGGCCGGAATGTCCGGGTGCCACATTTCCCACATAAATCGCCCCCATCTCTGCTGAGGCAGAATCACCTGTCTTTGGGTAAAGCTCACCTGATACAGGGCTCCTCTTGTTTTTGTGGGTCGGGGGGGGGGGGGGGTCCCCAGGGGGCAGGGATACCTTAGAACTCTCCAGAGAGCCGCCTTTGGGGGAGGGGAACTACAAAAGCCAGGGTGTGGGGGAGCGGAAGAATAAAGGATCCGGGGGCTTGTGTTCAGGGTTGAGGGGGGTTCCGGGGGGAGATGCCTCTCCTTTCCCACTGGAAGACTGGCAGGACCCCCCCCCCAGTGGGAATGAAACGGGGCTCAGAGGATCTCAGGGGTGCAACTGGAGCTGTGGCTATTGTAGAGATAAGGATCAACCCGGGGTGGGGTGGGGTGGGGGACAGAGGAAGGACACCCCCCCCAGAAGAGAGAGGGGAAGAAGAAGAAAGGTCCTGAACCTCTGCTGGGTTTCACCCCCCCCCCCGCCCCTTTCCCTTTGTGTCTGCGGAGATGAGACAGGGCGTTGGGCATCTTGATTTCAGGGCCATCTTGATTTCAGGGCACAGCCTCCCCTCCCCTCTTCCCCCCACTTTCCTGCCTTCATCTGAGGTTTCCGTGGGAAGCCAGCGAGCGGGGATGCAATCGACGCCGCGCATCTGTCTGGAAACCTTACTCTCGGGGTTTTGTGCTCTTTCTGTCAAGGCCGTCCATGTAAAGCGGCGCCCCCCCCTCCTCCCCTGGAAGGGCCCCCCCACATTTGCTCCGGGGAAGAGAGAGAGAAAAATGTTGACTTGGGACTGAGGTGATGCACAGCTAGCCAAGGATCGGAACTATGGGAGAAACGCGATCGGGCCTGTCCCGTTCGGAGACAGACTTTTTCCTTTCTACAGCTCCGTACACCGAGTGGTAGATCCCGGGGTTCCTGGGGTGGTGATCGTGGGATCATGGGACACGGCCGCGCTGTCTTGTATAAGGTATCTGAGGGAGACACCCATGCCGGTCATCCCAGCTACTCAGGAGGCTGAGATCTGAGGACTGTGGTTCGAAACCAGCCCAGGCAGGAAAATCCGGGAGACTCTGATCTCCCGTGAACCACTCAGAAAACCAGAAGTGGTGCCGTGGCTCGAGTGGTGGAGCGCCAGCCTTGAGCTGAAGAGCTGAGGGACGGCGCCCAGGCCCAGAGTTCAAACTCGACAGACAGAGGGACGCGAGGCTGCTGGCCGCGGGCCCTGGGGCTGGCCCCGAGCGGCTGGGCGCGGTGTGCGGCTCCCCCTCACCTGGAAGATGATGACAAAGGCCAGGCGGGCGGACAGGACGGACCAGTACTGTTTGGAAAAGTCGTAGGGGTTGGGCGCCCAGGGAGGCTCTCGGTAGTCCTTGAACCTGCGGCAGAGAAGGCTGATGTTAAGCCAGGGAGGACACGGAGGGAAAGTCCGGGGTCCAGACAACAAAAGGTGGCTGGGAAAGGGCTTTTCCTTCTCTGTCTCTCTGTGTGTCTCTCTCTGTCTCTGTCTCTGTTTCTCTGTCTGTATCTCTGTCTCTTTGTGTGTGTCTCCAAAAAGCTTCTTCCAGTATCCAGATTTGAATGCTTGGGCTCATGAGAGTATCTTGAAATCCACGGGGGCCATCTTGGTCCCCGCTGGCCTTAGACCCTGAGCCGGTGGGGGAGGGAGACCTCCCCCCCCCCCCCCCCGCAAAGCTTTGCATGAAGTCTATGGGCTTGTGGGGGATGGGGGGCCAACAGGTCCTCCTGGGCCCCTCCCCCACACCCCATGCTGATGGGGGGGGTGTCACATGACTTCTATGGATATGGGGGGGGGGAACCCCTGTGCTGGGAAGGACAGGGGGAAGAAATGCGGCAGACACGGGCCGGGGCGGGGGGCACACTCAGCTTCTGGACCCTTTCACCGTTCATTCGTGCAAGCCAGCAAGGGCCCCCCAAAAGGCAGCTGGGCTCTGGTTCCGGTGCTCCGCTTCGCAGCTCCTGGCCGGTAGGAAGAGGTGGAGGCCAAGTTCTGGGTTCGAGTCTGGTCGGAGCCAGGTTCCCGCCCCCCCCCCCCCCCGCAGTACTTTAGGGGACTTTCTCCCACCAACCCTTGGGGCTGACGCTTCCTAAACAGGGAGAGTGTGGGGGGGGGGTCTCTCCAGCCCTGGATGGAGCGCGCCCCCCCATAAAAGCCCCCATCAACGGGGAGACGGGGGGGGGGGGAGAGAAGATGGTGTTCCCCACCAGACAAAAGAAAGAGCGGCAGACCGGGCCGTGGGAAGGGGGGGGACATGAGTCTCCCCAGGAGGGCCTGGCAGCTCCCCAAGCCTTGCTGGGGGGGCGGGGGCGGTGTGCAGCAGCTGATCACAGCTGTCCCCAAAGCTCCGCGTGACATCCGGGTGCAAAGCCAGGCCAAGCCACCGCAGCAAGGGCCGGCGGGGAGAGACGTGGCCCCGGACAGAGATTCCCCCCAGGCCCAGGAACCGAGATTCGGCTGCACGAAGAAAGTGGATCTCGGGGTGGGGGGGGGGCTGGGCCCAGAGAAGACCCCCATGATGGGAGGCCCTGCCTCCCCCAAACCTTCAGAAAAGGGGGTGCACCCCCCCCCGCCCCTTACCAAGGGGGCAGGGCTCCCCAGGCTCTGCCGCCACCTCCAGCGGCCAGGCCATGTCTCTGCGCGCTGGCTGGCTCTGTCTACCAGGGAACAGCTGCTCAAGACCTGGGTATGAGAACCGCAGCCTCCCTCCCCCGCCAGCCTGCAAGGAATCCATACAAAATCGAATTCTGCTTCCAGAACTTACCACGGCTTTAAAAAAAAAAAAAAAAAATCCCATGGCCCTTCCCTGAGGTCCCAAAATATGTTTTGAATCTACCAGGCACAGACCTCTAACTGAAGCTGGGAACGGGGGGCGGGGAGGAATGGGGGGGGACAAATGCCTAGGTCTTTCCAGCAAGTTCTATTTGAAAACACCTCCACGTGGGGGAAGCGAAAGGCGGCCTCTGGCAGGTACTAGAGAGAAAGCGGACACGGCAGGAAACGACAGGGAGCAGCTGAGCGCATCGTGGATCTGTGAACTGCGTGCTATTCCTCTTTCTAAAGCTAGCTTTAAAAACAAAGACAACTACAGTCTACAGTAAGGAATAAATATATATATGCATATATACGATATGTATATTGACGTGAAAATGACAGAGGGCATGCTCCTTCCCTGCTGGGTCCAATGCACTGGTATTCTACTCTAATTCTATTCTATTTCTATTCCTATGCTGTTCTATTGCATTCTATTCTGTTCTATTCCTATTCTATTCTATTGCGTTCTATTCTTTTCTATTCTATTCTATTGCATTCCATTCTATTCTATTTTATTGCATTCTATTCTATTCTATTGCATTCTATTCTTTTCCATTCTATTCTATTCTTTCTAGCCCTCTACCCACGGTCCCTCTGAAGAGATTCTAGCATCCACTAATGAACCGTGACTCATCATCTGAAGCACACAGATTGCTGTAAGCCGCCAAGCAAATAATTAATTGGCTGTTTGCACGCCAACGTAGGTTCAGATTTCATAACTTTCTTTTTTTTCCAAGTGTCCTAAGAAGTCAGGCTTATCAAATGTGCTCACCAAGTAACCCGAAAACACTCATTAGGAAGAGGAAGGTGATTGGCCTGCAGAATAGAAATATTCATCACTATGCCAACCATCATCTGTTTGGTTTCTGAGCTCGGGGCTCGGAATGGGGGTGTGAGGGGGTGGATGGGGTCGGCAGGTGGGGACACGGCTTCCGCCGCATTCTCTGCCTGGGTTCTGTGTCGTGGCTGTCATTCGGACCTAAAATGCCCCCTCCTCACGCAAAGCCCCTGTGCACCGAGGCTTCCTCCTTCGGGAAGCGGTGACCTTTAGGAGGAGGAGCTTAAGGAGAGGTCTTTAGGTTATTGGAGCGGGGAGGAGAGGGCAACAGGTTATATCCTTGAAGGGGATGGTGGAATTCCGGTCCCTTCCTCTGGCTTCCAGGAAACATAGAATGCCAGGGATATGTGACATTCCGCAGGCCCCAGAAGAACAGGACCCATGGACCAACCGCGAGCACAAAGCCCCACCCAACCAGGCGCCCAAAGTAAACCTTTCCTCTCCCTCAGGAGGTCCTCACGGCGTGACTCCCTCTCCCGATACCCAAGGGTTCCTCATCTTCCACAGGGGCCGGGGCGGGGGGGGGGGGGGTTCCAGGGCAAAGAATCCCACTCCCTGATCCCAAATATCGGGGGAACCCCATAACTACCGCTCCTACGCTGTGCTGGAGATCCCGAAGGATTTCAGATTCTGCCCCTTTCCCACCCCACCCCCAGACTGTGGGATTTTTTGTTTTTGGTCAGTCGTGGGGTTTGAACTCAGTGCCTGGGCGCTGTCCCTCAGTTCTTCAGCTCAAGGCGGGCGCTCTACCACTTGAGCCACAGCGCCACTTCCAGTTTTCTGGTGGTTCCGGGGAGATCAGAGTCTCACAGACTTTCCTGCCCAGGGCTGGCTTTGAACCACGATCCTCAGATCTCAGCCTCCTGAATAGCTGGGATGACAGGCGTGAGCCACCAGTGCCAGGCTGTGGGATATTTTGTATCGTGAGACACCTAGCATACGGGACTCAAACAAAACACAGAACTCACGCGCGGTCTCAAACGTACCGTGTACACACATCCCCGAATTCACTGTCTATGACAGACGGAATCATCCCATGCCTGTAGCCAGGCTGACTAGTGTTTGATTTGTTTGCTTGGTTTTCTACTTGTGACATTTTGTGGCCGGGGCTGAAATCGTTTCCTATAGAAGGGAATTTTCAGAGTTTGGGTTTTTGGATGAAGGATGCCGACGTTGGCATGAAGGAAAATAATTTTCTCCAAAAGTGACTTGTGAACCACACTTCTTCTGTTCAAGCAGACCAGGACTCTGAGGCACGTGAGCATCAAACTCTTCCCAAGCCAGAAAACCCCACACAATTGGGGGTCATATCAGCACAAGGGCTTTTCTCAGGACCCATAGCCGGGTAAGTTTGGGCGGCCAGTTTTGTTTTGTGTTTGCCAGTCCTGGGACTTGAACTCTGGACCTGGGCGCTATTTCCGAGCTCCTTTTGCTCAAGGCTGGTGCTCTACCGCTTTGAGCCACAGCGCCACTTCCGGTTTCCTGATGGTTCCTTGGAGATCAGAGTCTCACAGACTTTCCCTTCCCAGGCTGGCTTTGAACCTCGATCCTCAGACCTCAGCTTCTTGAGGAGCTAGGATGGCAAGTGTGGCTGTTACATTTTTTTTCTTTTAAGCAGAAAAGAAATCGTGGGAGATCCTTTATAACCAAGCCCTAGCTTTTGCAGATGGGAACACAGAGGTAGGATCTGAGGGCCCACATGGCCTACCGTCACTTTTGCCTTCATTTCCAGCATCTACCACCCAGAACCCACAGTGGGCAAACAAAGCGGAAACAGCGCATTTGGGGAGCAGGGGGGGCGCTGGTCACCAGCCCACCACCTCCAGATCACGACTTTTCTTTGGAGATGAAGTGTTAGAAATCTATAAAGGATCGGTTGGTTCACTCATGCCATCAACGGTGACCCAGAGGCCAGATCTTCACCCACCGTGGGATTGAATGAATGTCACCGCTCCCCCCCGGCAAGATTTCCCCCGTACCAGCTGAGATCACTTCAAAACTCCCTGCCGAAACTGGCCGTTATCAAAAGAAAACAGACCGGCCAATTAGGGAACTAATGAGAACCAGGCCAAGATGGTGGTTGGTAAAGATCTAAAGATGGGGGCGCAGGCCACACCTGGAAAAGGTGACGAGTCAGAGCCAGGGAGAGTCTTCAAAGACTTTTCACCGGACCATCAGATATGGAACTACTTAGTCCACGGCGGCAAATAAAATAAAGAGTCTGGCAGGAGCCTCCTGAATACATGCTTGAGGGTGGTGAACACCTTGCTTGGACGGTGTAATTCCCCAGCTCTCCCGGCTGGTCCTGCCCTGGTGAGAGGCAGGTGCCACGCGACTGTGCATTCTCACAACATGGCGGCCCTCGTCCAGCGGTTTGCAAATGACACCCAGAACTCAACATCGAGGGACAGTCCATGGGTGGCCCAGTTAGGAAGACTTCCAGAGCTAGAGTTAATGCCCTCCGACTCCAAAACATGCTACGTGTGTATCTCTGGATCTGAGTTAATGCCCTCCGACTCCAAAACATGCTACGTGTGTATCTCTGGATCTCGGGTAGGGAGCCGGGGCCTCCGCCTAACGTTCACTGCTAGTTTCTTAAAGATGCCGGGCTAGAGCTCAAGGCCTTGGTTTTAGTGGACTCGTTATCTCCAGGGGTCAGAAGAAAAAGGGGTCATCGGCTGCCCAACACTACAGAAAACCAGGACAGACTTCATTTCCCACAGTGGGAGAAACTATAAACACCGACTCGGGCTGTCCAGTTAACTGAGGTTCCCACAATGCTCCTCTACCAGTCCCTCGTTCATTCTCAACCAATCCACATTCCATCCATCCATCCATCATCCATCTATCTACCCATCCATCCATCCACCCACCCATCCATCATCCATCTATCTACCCATCCATCTACCTATCTACCCACCCATCCATCCATCCATCCACCCACCCATCCATCCATCCACCCACCCACCCATCCATCCATCCACCCACCCATCCATCCATCATTCATCCATCATCCACTTGTCCATCAACCCATCCACCATCCATCCACCCATCCATCTACCCATCATTCCATCCACCCTCCTATCCACCCACAGATCCATCCATACACATTCATCCATCAATCTCTCCACCCACCTATCCATTCATCAATCAATTATTAATCTATCCGTCATCCATCTATTCACCCATACATACATACATACATACATATATACACTCACCTATTCATTTATCCATCTACCCATCTATCCATCCACACACCCATCTATCCATCCATTGACCTACCTAACCATTATTCATCCACTCATCCATCCATCATCCATCCATCCACCCACCCATCTCCCATCATCCATCCATCCACACCCATCTATCCATCCATCCATCCATTCATCCACCTATCCATCCATCCACCTATCCATCCACATATCCATCCATCAACTCATCCATCTACCCATATATCCATCCATCCATCCATTCATCCACCTATCCATCCATACACTTATCCATCTATCCACCCATCCATCCACCCATCCATTTATCCATTCATTTATCCACTGACCCATCCATACACCTATCCATCCACATACCCATCCATCAACCCATCCATCTACCCATCTATCCACTCATCCATCCATTCATTCATCATCCATCCACACATCCACCCACCTATCCATCCACCTACCCATCCCTCTTCCTACTGGTTACTGGGTAGGGCCCACATTAGAGAGATTTCCACCTGCCATTCTTACCCACTAGAATAGGCTGCCCCACACTGCATGGGTCTGACTTGCGTTCCCTGTCCCCTACGCATGGGTTTGGATTTTCAACGGCGGTGGCTGGGGAGACGTGAGGGGCAAAGGAAAGGCGTGGAACACGACCGGTACAGGTGCTCTAGGTAATTGTTGGTTCTGTCGAGCGTCCAATACTCCGCCCCCTTTCCCCCCCCCACACTCCTGGCTACTTTACCTGCAGAACTGAACCTCCTGGTCGAACTGCGAGTTTTCGGGCTGGGTTCCCTCCTTCAGCTGGCTCACGTTGAAAAAGGAGAGCGTGTGGTTCACGAATCCGTGCAGGGTACCGTTGTGGCTGTAGGAGTACTGGTACACCAGGCGGGGGATGAAGTCCGAGGTGACAGCGATGACAAAAGCCTGGGTTGGGGGGGGGGGAATGGGGGAGAGGAAGGGGAGGGGACAGGAACACAGACAGCTCAGTCAGGATGGAGCCGTCTGGAGGCAGAGATCCGGAGGACGGCGATTGGAGGCCAGGCCCGAGAGACCTCCCCATCTCAAAAAACAAGCTGCGTGTGGGTCACACCTGTCATTCCAGCCATCAGGGTAGGATGGTACCAGTCCTGGGCCCCGGTGCTGTCCCAGAGCCTCTTCGCGCTCAAGGCCAGCGCTCTGCCGCTTGGAGCCACAGTGCGCCATTTCTGGTTCTTGTTTTATTGGAGCAGTCAGAGTCCCAAGGACTTTTCTTGCCCAGGCTGGCTTCGAACCCTCGAGCCTCTAGATCTCAGCCTCCTGAGCGGCTGGGATGGCAGGCGTGAGCCACAGGCACCGACAATGCAGGGCCTGCCCCTGCCCCTGATCACGGTAGTTTCTAGATTGTTTGTCAAGGTACCTGTGGGTGTGGAAGGGCGTGGCCTTCTCTGAGAAGGAACGACCCCACGGCGGCCATCAGAGCCGCACTGGCAGAGCACTCGCTTATACCCTGCCAATGTGCCCCGTCAAGTTCCAGAAGGACCCGAGGGAACGGCTGGACCTGCTTTGTGGAGTGGCTGGCTCTTTCTCTCTCCTCTCCCTCCCTCTCTGTTTCCATCTCTTCCCCTCTCTTTCCTTCCTTCCTTTGTCTTTTATTATACTTTCATTGTCTCTAGATCATTGTATGAAGGGGTTTCGACTCCACAGGTCAGACTGAGAGGGTACGGCACCCCGATCTCTGTCCCCCCTCTGTCACTGAGCCCCGGTTCCCCCTCCCCCCTGCCGCTAGCACCCCGACTTTCCTAGTTTCATTGTCATTTTGCCAGCTGTAGGTTAGCTGTTCAAAGGACTGGCACCGCTGGGATTCTCGCCCTCCGCACATCTGTTTACTTCTGTGTTCGGGCCTGAGAACTGGAGTTGGAACCCCAGGGCCTCTGGAACACCAGGCAGGAGCTCCGCCCCTTGAGCCCCGCATCCCCATAGAAACCTTTTGGTGGCAGCTTCCCTGTGGGCCGGGGAGGAGGCCGCCCACTGGGCCTCACAAGGTGAGCAGGCCTGGATTACAAGCCTGCATCACCATACCGGGTTCTCTGTTTGTCAAGATGAAGACATTCTAAATGCCAAGAGGTGATTTCCAGCAACCCCCCCCCCAAGTCCCACATCAGAAGGGAGGAGTCCCAAGGGAACACAAGCTGTGTCCCCCTCGACCTCCCCGCCCCTCCCTCCCCTAAACTGGCAGATATTTTCTTGGGACAAGGAAGGCCTGGGCCTGGCCAGAATTCAAAAGCAAGAGGTCTTGCTGGCTAGATCCCAGCAGGACTTCCTCTGCAGAGGTCAGGCCGGGGAGGATTTTTCTTCCCTGGGAACTGCCGTCTGGGAGGATAATTAAGACCTCTTATTGACAACCCCCAGGAGGAGAAGCGGCAATTAGGACGGAGTTGGGGGGGGGGGGTGGCTGGGAGCAGCTCCAGCTCATTGTTTTAATTGGGGAGGTGGAGGGGGAAGCAGAAGAAGAAAGAGATGCTGGGGGTGGGGGGCATAGGGCGGAATTCTTTCCTCCTCCTTCTTGGCTGTGAGGACAGCTCCGACCTCCACACCAGAGGCCTCGAGGGCTGCGGCCGTGCTGGTGGTGGTGGTGATGGGTAATTAATGACCTCGGTTGCTCTTAGGGAGACTAAGCATGCAATCCCAGAAAGCCGGGGGGGGGGGGGCTGAGATGTCAGGCCAGGTGGGGTGAATAGAAGCTCAAAGCCCTCCATGTGTGTGGGGGGGGGGAGGCTGGGTGAGATGGGGCTGCCCCCCCAGGATTCCGGGGGGGGAAAATCGCACCTCCCTCCCCTCCACGCCCCCCTCCCCCCCCCCATGACCGAGCACCAGCACTCACGTTGATGATCACCGAGAACTTGCCAATGCCGGAGAGAATGTCGAACCAGATCCCTGCAGGGAACAGTAGGAAGGAGGCTCTGGGTTCCGGGCACCTGGGCGCCCCCCCCCACTCACCTGCCCCCCCCTACTCCCCTCCCCCCCCCAGCTCAGGCGTGAGGTTTGGGGGATATGTGGGCCATGGGGAGGGAGGGAGGGGGGGATCCTGAAAGGTGTGGGGAGCTCAGGACTCCTCCCAGAGTCCCAGGGGGGAGGGGAGCCGGGGGAGGGGAGAGGGGGGGGAGCCCCCCCACCTTGACTTTTAAGGTGGCACCCCTGACTTTTAAGGTGGCACCCCTGCCTTTCCAGGGACCACGTACCTATATCTTTGGTTCTCACGGCATCCGGCCGCCTCAGCTCGGTGACAAACTTTTTGGCATCCAACCTGACCTCGATGACGTTGTTGAGCAGGGCGAACACGGGGGCCAGGGGGAAGGAGGCCACGAAGAGGGTGACGAACCCGAACTGGATGACTAGGGGAGAGTACAAAGCGGGGAGCCGCCGCGGGGTCGGGAGCTGGGGGGGGAGGGGTTGGTGTTCTCCCCTCCCCCTCCCATCGCCCCCCCCCCAGTCCCCCACCCAGGGTCCGCAGGAGAAAAGCTCTGGGCCGGAGTTTGACAACCCACGACGACGATGTTACTTTGGAGAACAGAAACAAACACACCAACCAACAACACTTTCCGAGGTCCAGCATGGTGGCGGTTCAAACGCAGCCAAGGCAAAGAGTTAGCGAGTCTCTACGTCTACCAGTCTCTATGGCTTCACCCCAGATGGTAGGAGGCCCGAGGTCGAGACCAGCCAGGCGGGGGAGGCCAGATCCTATTTGGCTATTTGATAAATAACTGAAAGCCAAAAGGACTGGGTGCACCCATCTCAGACGCTCAAGGACCCTGAGTTGGAGCCCCTCAACACCCCCCAAAAGGAACTCCCAGGTAAAGAAAAGAAAATCGTCCCACACGCTCACTCTTTAGATTCTATTTTATCTCATTGTGATGATTGTTGTTGTTAGGAGTATTCGTTGTCGTTTGTGAGACAGAGTCTTGTCGAGGCTGGCCTCGAACTTGAATGCCTGGAATTACACGTGTGGCCCTCCGGGCTGGGAAGGTGGCTCAGTGGTAGAGCGCACGCCTCGCCTGCGTGAAGCCCCGGGTTCCATTCCTCTGCACCACAGAAAAAGCCGGAAGTGGCGCTGTGGCTCAAGTGGTAGAGCGCCAGCCTTGAGCCAAAGAAACTCAGGCACGGCGCCCGGAGGAGACAGAGGCCGGGTCTGGCATTTGAGGGGCCCAAAGGTGGGAGAAAACTGTGTAAACAAGCACACGGGGAGGGTGTCGTTTTGTTTTTTCCGAGAGAGAAGAGAACAGAGAGACAGAGCTCAGGATCTGCACGGGGTAGGGACTAAGGAGGGTCACTGTCAGGGGGAGACTTACGGGGGGAGAGAGGTGGGATGGTACCACAGGGAAAGCCTGGAATACAGAGCTCTTGGGAAGGCATCCAGACTCAGCCCCGACCGAGGAGAGCAGCAGCAGGGACCACCTCCCAACTGCCCTGGGGGGGATCCCCCATCCTTCCCTGGCCCCCCACAATCTCACGCTGTCCCCCGGGGGGCTGCTAAGATGCCCCTGGACCTCTCCAACCTCCCCTGCCCAATCTCCCCCACAACTGCCCAGCCTCCCGTCTTGTTTTCCACCCCTCACCCGTGGAGCAAGAATCTGCTGTCTGTACCCCAAGCAGACCCCCGTGTGTGAGGTCTGGGCACCGAAGGAGAAGCGGGAAACCCCAAATCCTGGACCCAGATGCGCGTCTAGCCAGCCGCGTGCCTTCACCCGGGCCTGGGCGTTTACACATCTCTGGCGATCGGTGCTGGGGGAAGGGGGTCCGGCTTCAATCTGCCCCCCCATGGCCCTAGCTCTGAGTCTGGCTTCAATCTCCCCCCCCCACGACCCTAGCTCTGGTTTGTCCCAGGGACCCCCCCACCCCCGTTCCTCCTTCTGAGCCAAAGCTCCAAGATTCTAGAACATTCAGATAAAGAATGAAAAAAAAAGCCCAGACAGACCCAGATGGACACATGGGTATGGGTTGACCGATAAGACAGAGGGACAAGGCAACAGAGATGGAAATTTCCAGAAAAAAAAAATGCATGGGAGTCCACCCAACCAAACACATGTGTGTCTGTATGGGGGAGGGAGGGGTTACTAAGGGCTTGAACTCACGGCCTGGGTGCTGTGCCTGAGCCTTTGAGCTCCAGGCTGGCGCTCTACCCCTTGAGCCACAGCGCCGCTTCTTGGTGGCTCATTGGAGATGCGAATCTCACGGACTTTGCTGCCCTAGGGCTGGCTTCGAACCTCGATCCTCAGATCTCAGCCTCCCGAGTAGTTGGGATGTCAGGCACCAATCACCAGCGCCCGCCTTTTGTTATACTCTTGAGTGGAGAGGATCCAAGCCATAATCCGCTCCTCCACGTAAATCACGAACCCCAAACTTGCCAGATCAGATGAGAACCGTTTCCCAGGGAACACCAGCCTGCGCCAGCCTTCGCCCTCATGGCTACTTGTCTCTAAAATCAGCCAGCCCCCCAGCGGGTTGAGAGCGAACACCGGAAACTTCCAGAATGGTACATAATCGAAGCCAGCTTGGCTTGACCAGCCACCAATCAGCACCTGGCCAAGCCAATTAGGGAAAGGAAAACAAAAAAAAAAATCCATAAATTGATTTCCAACTGGACCTCGACAAAGCCAGCTGTAGAGCATTCCGGAACACCGCTAGCTGGGCGTGCAGCCTGGCAAATAAAACGGTGTGGCCTCCCAAACTGTGTTTTTCTCTCTCCCTCTAAACCCCAACAGCCAAGAGCTATCGGAAATAACCCGCCCTGGCCCACCCATGTCCGGACACTAGGGCCCACTGGCATCATGGGTGATCATCAGGGCCGAGGTGAAAGGCACATGGAGAATTAAACATGGCGGCCTCCAGGGCAGATTTGCTGAGCGTCTACTTGGGGAAGGAGAATGGTAGAGTGGACAGACATCTCCTGAAGCAGCCAGGGTTTGCTGGGAAAGATCGAGAGGGAACAAAGTCTGATTTATCGTCATCATTGCCTGGAAATTCTTCAGTGAATTCACACACACACACACACACACACACACACAAGCCCAAGGTGTATCTATCCAAAGCCCTTGGCCATTCTGATCTCCACTTAGCACCCAAAGACCCTGGGCCTTTCTTGATCTCGACTTCTTTTAATTATTATTGTTTGGTCGGTCATGGGGCTTGAACTCAGGGCCTGGGCGCTGACCCTAAGCTCTTCAGCTCAACACAAGTATTCTACCACTTGAGCCACAGCGCCACTTCCAGTTTTCCGGCGGTTCATGGGAGATCAGAGTCTCATGGACTTTCCTGCCCGGGGCTGGCTTTGAACCGTGATCCTCAGATCTCAGCCTCCTGAGGAGCTGGGCTGACCGGCGTGATCTCGACTTCTTTCCGAGGAAGTTTCCCCCAGCCTCCTTTCCTCCTCCCTCCTCTGGGGCTCAGGACTGACATGTTGCTGGAATGTTGGAGTCTTGCCCAGGGTGCAAGCCTTCCAAACCACTGGTGCATTTCTACCCAGGCCAACTGGGCCACCGCCCTTCCCTGTGTTCTCACAGAATTACCTTTCTAGTCTTTTTTGTGCAAGCTCAACTCCAAGGTAAGCTTCCCCTGGGAACTGTCTCTCCCCACCTTACAGGGGCTGGGAGGACTTGGGGGCCACACAGCATCTGTCCACCTTTTCCACACACACACACACACACACACACACTGGCTTTGTTTATCTGACCCACGCCCGGTGCCTCAAGTTGGATTTGACTCTTTCCTGCATCCTTACTCTCTCCAGTGAGGCCTGAGCAAATAAGCAGGTGCTTGAAGCTTGCCAGTTTCATAACTATAAGCTGACTTTTGCCAACTGTGAAACAGAAACTTGGGGGGGGGACCCTCTAAAATATATGAACTGAAAGCATTCTTTTTTTTTTGATTGGTCATGGGGCTTGAACTCAGGGCCTGGGCGCTGTCCCTCAGCTCTTCAGCTCAAGGCTGGAGCGCTACTGCTTGAGCCACAGCACCACTTCTGATTTTCTGGTGCTTCATGGGAGATCAGGGTCTCACGGACTTTCCTGCCTGGGCTGGCTTTGAACCTCGATCCTCGGATCTCAGCCTCCTGAGTAGCTGGGATGCCAGGCGTGAGCCACAGAGCCCGGCTAAAAGTGCTCTTCTTAAACAAGGTCGCTGAGACAAAGACCTGAAGACTTTCAAGAAGCTTGAAGCAAAGGAACGCATCCAAATCGTGATGAAAATTATAGCTGTGTGTGTGTGTGTGTGTGTGTGTGTGTGTGTGTGTGTGTGTGTGTGTCCTGGGACTCGAACTCAGGGCCTGGGTGCTGGTCCCTGAGCTCAAGGGGGATAGAACCTGCTCACAAGGAGAGAATCATCTAACTAGCTGTCTTAAGGTCTGGTGACACCTCATGGGGCTGTCTTGGGAGGACAAAAACTCTGGTGTTGAGCTTCCCGGTTGTTCCCGGGAGAAGAAAAATGGGAAAGCAGTATGCTTCTCTGACAAAGAGTGTCTCCCTCCAGCCTCTCCTCCCGGCATCCACCTGTTCCTCCTGAATCCCAGGAAGGCCAGGGAGGGAGGGAGATGGAGAGGGGCACCCCTCCCCCAAGGGGGAGCAGGCCTGCTAAAGCCCACAGAGGAGAGGAATTCCACCTTCTTCCCAGAAATGCTGTGGATTTTTCCTGAGGTGTGTTCCCGCGTCATCTCTGAGGGTATAAACAGGATGCCTGGAGAGAGGGATTTCTGGGTCCCGGGAGCCCCTGGCTTGGATTTGGGGGGGGGGGGGGCGGGTGACACAATGCATAGGCTCCCCCCGAGTGCGGAGGGCCGCACAGATATTCTAGAAGGTCTCATGGTCTGCTCCCAGTTTCTGTTGGAGATCTGGAGATCCCCGGCTGGCTCTCCATTAGCAGGGCTGGGGGCAGGGGGGGTCCCTGTGGGTGGGAGATGGGTCATTCCCCACCATGGCCTCAGGACCCCCTGCCATTTCCAGGGTGGGGATCTGGTCACCCCAAATGCCCCTCCTTCCCAGGCTCCCCCCCCCCATCTCTGTTTGTCTCTGTCTCTTTCTGGAGTCTGTCTGTGTCTCTTTGTGTTTCTCGGGGGGGGGGGGTGTCTCTCTGTCTCTGCCTCTGTGTTTCTGGCTGTGTGTGTCTCTCTGTGTATGTCTCTTTTATTTTTTTTTCCTTTCTGTCGGTCGTGGGGCTTGAACTCAGGGCCTGGGCGCTGTCCCTGAGGCTCTTCAAGCTCAAGGCTGGCGCTCTACCACCTGAGCCGCAGCGCCACTTCCCGTGTTTCTGGTGGTTCCTGGGAGATCGGACAGTCTCACGGACTTTCCAGGGCCGGCTTCGAACCTCCATCCTCAGATCGCAGCCTCCTGAGGGGCTGGGATGA